GGGTGGGTGGGTTTTTCCCTGGTCTTTTTTTTTCTGCTTATCATTTAAACTTGATTTACATTGAAAACGTCGTGTAGATTTCTCATTAATGGTGAATAGTCATTTGGGATTTTCTGGTTTAATTGATTTGATAATTGATTTGTTGGCGTGTTTAAGGGATTTGTTCTAAATCTCGTGGTGTTAGTGACCTCGGATAACGTGTTATTATTGTCGGTAATTAATCATTCCATACTTTATCTTTATACTGGGTAACGATTGAGAGCAAAATGTAAACGAGAGACTGAACTAGATTCAACTTTTTTTTTCCTCAATGAATGATGCACTATGAAAATACATAACTTTTTCCAATTAAAATTATTAACTACAGGAAAATCAACATTTCAAATGCAAATGTTTATTCACATTTACTAATAGCAAGTGAATTAAACCGCCAGAAGTAATTTTTTTTATTCAGTATAGGTTATCTCTCCCATATTTTCTATCAATTTAGTGAAAGGCTTTCACGAGATTATTATATGGATGAAAAAAAAGGGAAAATTATCCGACAACTGTGGGAATGTGTAGCTATCACTCAGAGAAAATAACAGAAGGGAATTATCCCGGGAAGTAATTGCAAGTTGGTATGAAATTAGCCAGTCATCTCTCGCAATTTGTGTGATTAGTATTATTAGTTACGTATAATGAAGCAATTTGGATGATAATGTTTTGAAGAAAGATTGCTGTCAAGGTAGTTGGTGTAATACGATTTACTTGTTATTTCTAAAAGAGTGCGACTTGGGCATCGATTTTCTTCAACGGTATGTGGGTATAGAGCGACAATTGATAATTAGTGTTTCTAAAGTCGATATACCAAGACTAGACGAGACTAGTTTAAATCTCTCTAGTTAAGAGTGATTAAACTAATTAGAAAAAATTGTTGATTTTCGATAAAATTTGTTGGCCAAACGAGTGGAATTTCTACAGAGTTTCTTCATGACTGAATTCATGGAACGCAAACCGCATGTTTAGATTGCCATACGACAATGAAAAAAAAAGTATAATGTGTGCCAAGGTAAGATAAAAATCACTCGAAGGTTCTCCACAGATGAATATATTAAATAAAATATAATAATATCTAATATAATATAAATCAACTAATAAATAATTGTAATACTAACAACAATGATGCCTGATATTGACTGGTATTTCGTTGCTGCTACATAAATGAATTTTACTATTTTGATTATATAGATTAAATGAAATCGTCTGAATGAGGTATTGAACTCTTTTGAAATGTTTTAAAATTAAATACTGAGTAAAGTAAAGGACGCGCGTATTTAACAGATAACAAGTTATGACAAGTTATCATCTTGGATGACTAATATTTACTTACGATTCATATAATTCCGTTTGAAAAATGCACAACTGCCCTACTGATACGTTGATAGTGTGATAGAATGATTTGATGAGGGCTTACCTTTGGTTCGTTACTCGAAGTCTTTAATTTTTTCGTTGGCGGTGGACTACATGCTGCTGTATCCATAGCCTCATCGACATTAGTATTGAGATTTGGTCCTGGTACAGCAGCAACTTTAGTCTGTTCGGGTTTAGCAGCTGAACCAGCGGCTGTCGCTGATGCTGGACTCGGTGGTGGACAGGGTGCTGCTGCACTTGTTGCAGGTGGTCCAGCACCTTGTGCCACAGGGAAGCCCGTTCTTGAGCTAGGTGGTGGACCTTGGCTCTGTTGGGGTGCTGTTGCGGCGGGAGTTGGTCCTTGGGACTGGGCCGCAGCGCCCGTTGAATTTTGACTCTGGGATACGGGCCTAGCTGTACCATTCATCTCGGGTTTATTTTGCTGTTGGCCGTGATTACTCTGCGGCTGTTTATCGTGTTTATCCCTTGCCTTATCCCTACGATGACCACTTGATCCGCGTTTAGAGCCAGCGGTCGAGGTGGCTTGGGCTCCAGAAGTCGCTGATGCCGGGGAGTGTGGCTTGGACTTGTTGGATGAGGAGGAATTATTGCTTGTTACTTCAGCAATTGAATTTTGGGATGATACCGACGATGAGGATGACGACGATGTCGATGATGTCGACGATGAGGTCGATGAGTTTGAGGATGATGAATTGCCAGTAGCGTCTTGTGATGATGCTGATGATGAGGATGTACCATTGATCTCATTAGACTTGACAATCTCGTGCTTTGCCTCGCTGGTCTTTGTACCTGGTTTAGTGCGTTTTATCTTCATTTTGAGGCCCTTGTCAACAGTAGCCGAGTGTTCAACAGCCATTTTGCCGGGATTTCCGGCGTTCGTGTGTACCGCGTTAACCGCGCTTGGCTGTTGCTTACCAGTTGGACCGTTGCCCGTTGAGTTATTATTACTACTATTATGATTATTATTAGTGGTTGATGTTGTATTACCACTGGTATTGCCAGAGTTAACGGAATTTGTTGAATTAACTGATGAGGACGGCAACGCGGAGGTGGACGACGAGCACGACAACGATAAAGAGGCTGACTGACCGTTACCACTTGTTATTATTGATGTTGTTGTTGATGATGATGAATTCTGATTGGATGTTGAATTCTGCTGTATCTGATGATTTTGATTTGCTGTGGCCGTTGCTGCCGAGGCAGGCGTTGAAGCCATCCCGTTTCCCGAGCTCAATTTCTCGTCCCTCGTCTTCTCTATATCAGCATCAAGGTCGATTATAAGATCGCCTATGCCAATGTCCCATTCATTGTCGTCGTACTCGAAGTTGTTGGTCGCATTTGTCGCGGCCGTGTCCGTTTCCCCGGCGTTAGCAGCCACTGTGCTAGCTGTTTTCAACTCACGACACGTCCCCCCCGACTTATCACAACTCTGTCTTCGAATTTGTTCCTGATAAATAATACCCTGATCGCGATTATTTTTACGCTCGCATCTACTTTGAACGGTGTGATTATTACAGCTGTTACCGCCCTTATCACCGACACTTGTCGGTGTTGCTGGTATCGCCGCGCACGGCGAGATTCCTTTGCGGTTTGAATTAGGGAGGCGACCGCCTATTGGCGTGGTCGCCATGCCCTTGGAACCTTTTCCCCGGCGCCCGCCAGCCTTGCCACCGACTCGACGCCTTTTCTCGCCGGTCCCAAGTAGGATCCGATGGTTAACGTGCTTGAACCCCGACCACCGCCCACAAGACGCTCCTCGTCCATCGAACACATCACTTATCACCTATTTCGACACCCTGGTACACCCCCTTACCGCTACCACTTTTTCTCGTCTCTCTCTCTCTCTTTCTCTCTCTCGCTCTACCCTCTCTCAACCCTTTCTTAATCCTCTCGTAACCCCCTCTATATCTATCTATCTACCTATCTCTCTTTCTCTCTCTTTCTCTCTCTTTCTCTCTCCCTCTCTTTCTCTCTCTCTTTCTATCTCTCTCTCTCTCCCTTTCTCTCGTTTATGATAAATGGCTTGCAATCTCCTTTATTCACTATTCACCAATCCACCAATTCTACACTCGTTTCAAAACACCATTTCACTCTCAATATCACAGCCACCACAATCACCAATTCATCATCACATCAGTTATCACTCATATCAATCCTTTCATGTGACGTGTAACCAACTATCTCCAGGATACTCCTCTTTCAATCCATCGGAAACAAGCGCCTCCGGCATTGGTCCAATTCTATAACATAAAGACACAGAACAACCAGTCAGTTGATTCGTAACTCATTAAACATAAATAACTGTTCATGATCATTAATCTTATAAAGGGGCTATGAATTGGTGAAGAGGGAGGGAAGGAGAGACATCATCTCTCTGCTTTTATCTACGCCTTGCCAACAAATTGGTATTCCCACTTGGGTAGGAATTCGTGTCAGAGAACGATTAATTTAACCGCCAGCATTTTGGCAACAATCCAAAAAGCAGACGATTCGCGTACCGAGAGAGAGAAAGATAGTCAACTCTTCCCATTCCCGTTGATTCAAGTGACGTTATATCTAGTTACTTCGTTCATATCCACCCCAGTCTCTCATTCTTCCTCTATTTCTAAATGTACCATTTCATCTTGTTTTCCTGCGATAGCTCATCTACCCGCTACATCATCATTTCCAATTCATTCGTGCAAGCGACCAATCGAATCCCAACTATTGAACATTGTCTCATATCTCGATGGACCACTCAAATCATCAAACCCAAATGGTTAATTAAGCATCCGTTCTCATTTCATCCAACAGATTGTAGACGACATTTGGCTCATTCACTATTATCTTCTCAGAAATTCAAGTTGGCTCGTTGCGCATGATTATTATGATCCTTCGTCACTTTGCATGTGTCATGTCTCTTTATATGAGCCAAAAGTCGATGTGCTCGATTCAACTTCAATTCTATGCTCTTTTGTGACGAAAATAATTTTCAACAACGAGTGGCACACGTGAAAACAATGACTTGGTCGAGGTTTATCATTGGATCCATGGGAAATTGTTCAATTTAATTTCGATAAATTTTGTATAATGACGATGAAATTGAAATGCATTATTGCGTGGTAGCGACATGTGTTGACTTTCATTGAATTGAGGTGCGGTATCTGTGACTTATAAACAATAGTCGGTCAATGGCGGTGCTTGAGAATAATATTGTCGTTGGTAATTCACAACTGTTGTCCACAGTCGGTGGTATCAAAGAGCAGAGGGTAAACACAAACGAAGAGAGAAAGCCGTAAATGTTACAAAGGCGAGAGAAACTGCATCCAAGTACTGAATGGACTCAAGACAGCTGGATTTTTATGAGAAAGGTGCTATTTAAAGCCACTTAAAATATCAAATCCAGCCTAAAACATTTATAACAGCATTATCCGCAATAGCAGTCGAGGATTATATCGTCAATTCCTCCAATATATAATGGCTCTGAAAGCCAATAAACTAGAAGAAGAAAGATGAAACACTCGAGCGATTGAAGCGACCACAAAAGGAAAGTTCCGCAGCAACAGCGGCTGTTATAGGAAGAGTTTGTATTTTTTTTTCCAGTTAAGAAGTGATTTAAATCACTCCTTGGCAGCCTTAAGAAATGGGTAGAGAATGGTAACGGTAGAGATGGGTTAAATCGTTGTGGAAGCTTTGCAGACGACCCCCGGGAACTTACAACTGAGTAAAGTAGAAATGGAAGTGGAAATACAGTATTTATTCAGAGGGACGATACGTGATGAAAACTACAGGAATTACTCGACAGAGGGGAAATAAAAAGAGAGAGGCAGGTTAGTCTATCTTTTTTTATCTCCATTTGTTCCTTGCGCTTGGTGTCTCACTCGCACATTCGTGCCTGGATGTAATAAAAACTCTGGTCGTATGCCATATGCCCACAGGCTGAATGCCTCCCTTATGTGATTCTACACCAATATCCCTTTTACGCCCCAATCCTATTGTATTTTCGTCTGCCATGCACTTGTATGAGCATGTGCAAATGTATTCACACTATTGCACACACACATTTATCAAACAACCAATAGGTGTATCACGACCCCAAAAGTCACGATGTAGCAGATGCTCTGCTGTGGCCTGGGCTCACTCATCCGTGCTACATCACTGTGGGCATCCCTCTTTTTCATTCGTTGGTATATACCCCCTCACTCCCTTCCTCCATTCCTCCCTTCTACCCCTCTAACCCACCTATTCATGTGTTGGAGCGTGTACAACCCATAACACACGCCATTGCACAATTGAGAGACTTGCAAATCATGACCCTCTTAGAATCATTCCAAAACGATTATGTGTGGGGATTTGGTCGCGCCTCGATGCCCCTGGGAACATTCATTTTGGGCCTCGAGTTTTGTTGGATCCAGTGCTACCATTTGGTGATTCGTAATGGAAATTCTCTGATTGTTGTTGGTGATGGATGTAGGAATTTGGAAAAATCTGTTTGGACAGACAAGTCATTGAAATCCAACATGTGGAATTATCGTGCAGCAGAATAGTTGCTTTGAGTTGGGTTGAGAGGTTCAAACGTTCATATTCATGTGGGAAAAAATGATAGTAATAATGGATAATTGCACTTGTCCTTTGGACATTTGACCTGTCTGATGTGCACTCTTCACATTTGAGATATTTGCTGGTTGAATTTAGATATCTAATCCCTCGAGTACAATTCGAAATATTTTTCAGGGGAATTTCTGATACAGAAGGTGGGACGGCAGTAGATTAAATATTGATTTTATGATATAATCTAGTGAGGAGCAGTCGCTTGTAGATGGCAACAACGACTTAAATCAATGGGTGTCATTAAAAATATTTCCTCACATGGAATAATAATTGCTGGCGTTGTTGATGGAGACAGAGGAATTGAAGTGTACCATTGTGAAATTGAAGTAATTTGAAGAGCGATTATATACGCAAGCAGGGAAATTGCTGGAGCGTTTACAATGTGCATATTCTCATGTTATGCGCGATGATGTGCATGTGTTTTTCATGAGTGTTGAATATAGTGTGCACGTTGGAGTCCCGTGTGATACTATGATATGGGAAGCCGCGGGTTTCATACAGACACGCAAATTTGCTCAGGTGGTATTTCACATCTGCTCTGGAGTTGTAGTTTGAATTACAGGAGAAGTATTGTGATGTTACAGTGTACAGATCACGTATGCAAGTAAGAAGCGGATCAAGAATAGCTTTCTTGAATTAACAACAGTATTCCAAGAATAGGCAGTTAAATGAAGTCATTCACGTCATAATGAACAAAAAAGTGGCATTAGGATTTGACGAAAATGAATAGTAATTCAATTCAATGGCATCTCTAATTAATTACTGCATTGCCAACTTGAATGGAGCGTAAGTGCGCAAACCAACGGAAATCCGTGAGTCGTTAGTGTTGAATTGCGCTAAAATTATGTCAACTTGATATTCCATCACACCTGTCTCGGTTGAGCAGACTGGTTGGAGGCCAACAAGGGTTAGAGGTGGAGTTTGCCCGTCGTTTGAATAATTGAGAACTGGTGGAGAGCGACGAATGGCTAACGCCCGTTTCCTCCGACTCCCGAGAGTCTAGATGATCAAACACCAGATATCTCCATTCTTCATATCAATGGATTTACATTCACCAGTCGAGTCATGCCACTCTCATTACAACTGAATGATACAAAGCTTCCAACGGAAATGACTAATTCACATTATAATTGACCGGCATTTGAGTGAGAAGGAGCAAAGCAGGCAATCAATCCTGAAACAAAAAAGCTGGAAAAAAAAACTGTCTCACTATCCCGGAAATAGCCACAAATTGGGCTTGAGTGGAGGCTGAGCGGCTGAGTTTGCGGACATGCTTGAGGCCAAGGGTCAAGACTTGAATGAACCGAGAGTAACTAGGTCTGCCCTCTCCTTGGTGGTCGATTCATTAGAAAAGACCATGGGAATAAACCGTCTAATTGTTTTATTTTGCGAATAACAAAAGCAACAAGTAGATTGATGGATCTTGATGACATGGATCCAACCCCAATCCAATCCCTCCATGAGGACCTATATCGGGACCGATATCATCCTCACAACGATATTGTAAAAAAAAAAAAAACAAAGGAAATGATAAAGAGAGCTCAACGTTTGTCTACCGGAAGTACTTGTCAGCCACTTAAGCAGGCTTAGAGGGGTTGACGCTATGTGTATTATTTCCAAGTGTACGTAACTGGCTCGTGCTACAACACCAACGACTTCAGGAACCATATCCACTCTCTTATACGTGTAGACCATCTCAACTCGAGCGTTGCTCATAATTGGTATCGTGCCTCCGATCCAACACGTATATGTACAGCTTATATCTCCAGGTACCTCTACATGAAAACTTTTCATGTAGCAAGTTGAACACGCAAACTTATCGGATGGTGTACCCACTGATGGAGAGCCAGCATTGATTCCAGAGTAAGCGTTTCAATCCATTATACTATATTTGTTTATTTCCTTTTATTCTCTTCAGTATTGTCACACTTCAATACTTGCATTTGCTGAATATTTCGTATTATTGACCTTTTGGGATTGCCAGGAATAATGAGATTGCCATTAATTCTGGTTATTCAAGTTATTCTCCACATCTTGATGCTCTCTGCGTAATATTTCAGGTAGACTCGCCGTATGAACCCAGAAACACATACGGATAAATAAATAATACCTATCGGAGCGATGTGTACGTGCCTTCGTGTACAACGTCGCTTACTTGCCAGTGGAAGCATAAATATTTATATCCTCGGAGACGTGCAGTGCATAAGTGCGCACGCGTGAGTCGTGGATAGAATATACTTTTGGGTTGTGTGTATGTTTCAGGCTTGGATTCAACTTGTGTTAGTGAATCGATGCGATGGTGGAAGATTTTTGGATGATATTACGAATTCTTCACCAGTTTCAGACGTAAGGAAGAAGCATTTTCGTAACTTGCATATTGTAAACTGCCTCCACGAGTCGTTTTGGAGTGGGTAATTGCATGGCTTCAGTGCTGAGGGGTTCAGCACAGCGTGTAATTGATTTGTTGACCTCTTTGTATATCATTGCATGAAAAATACCCAGGAATTATCGTACAGTTGTTCCCCAACGACTCCAAGAGATTCATCCAGAGGAACGATCGGACGAGGGAGAATAGATGTTTCGATGAGAGCTTTGTGATTTTTTTTTTTCTTCTGTTCCACTTTGCAGACCCCTCCAGGCATGTCATACCGTACACGCACGATTGAGTGAATGAAAATAAACGGTGTGTCAACACTTTATTGGCTTTTGGTTTAACACCGAGGGTTTATAGTAATGGAATTGATGGGTTGATTAAAAACAAGGGGGAGTGCTTTGGTAATTGTGTCTTTTACCGGTTCACGCAAATTGAAAAGGTTGCACGAGTCGTGGTGTTCATTGTAATCTAAATGAAGGTGCTATATTGTCGATTACTAATCATACGTTCTATTGGATATTTACATAATTGCGACTACATTTTTTAGCATGTGTTAACTACGTACTGCTGGAGAATTGAATGCTGCTAATAATGTAATCGATATCGATGCAGTAAAATTCATCGTGGTGATTAATTTATTATTGCCAGTGATGAAGCAGTTTTTGCTGATCGTAGATATTGTTTTTCAATTATATATTGACGAAAATGTCTATGAGACATTCGGAATACGTTCTCTTTCTGCGAAATAACAGCCTTATGTGATTATGGAAAATAGTGATAATGCATTTGATTACATCGGGAGAGAGAAAGAAGTGCGAAGGCACGCAGAACAGCGCAAATAGATGAATGAATATTCATATGGGTAATGAAAATAGTATTGGCCTTCTTAATCGGTACTTTTCTCGTTTTGTGATAAGCAAAATAGGTTAACTATTCAAATAATTCTTTTCTTCACGAGGAAAAATGACTTAATGATAAATTTTTATCGAGTGAGTTATCTTGTAGTAGTTTCAGAGTACAAGCACGAGCGGAAAATGCGATTATCTCTGAGAGAATTGATCTATTACCGATTTTCATGTTTGTTTAATATCTGAATGAAAAATCAACGCACTGGCGATTATTGTCTTAGAATTGTTGTTGATTTCTGAGAATCATTTTGTATCAGTATGATATTTGAGTAAAATGCATGACTTGCGGTGGAAAGAAAACTTAGAAATCGGGACAAGGACGTGTAAATCATGGTCGTGTAATCGGCTGCTATTGACAGGCAAAAAAAAACTAGAGAAATACCGATTAGGCATGGCATTTTCCAAGCATCTTTTTTTTTATCTCCAAATGCCGAAACAATGACTGCTTCTCGTTATGCTGAATGCACCAATTACATGGAAATTGGGCATTGAAAGTAAGACAATACGGGATTTTTTTCATAGCTTTTAAAAAAGTGAAGATTCCTCTAGGCGATTAACAATTCAATGCCCGGAAATCTTCCGGAGTTCCATTTCAACATTGAGCAACAATGGGCGGTAATTTCTGGAAAATTTAAGACTGAGACCTGAGGTTGAGGGAAAATGGAGAGAAAACTCAACTCCAGTGGCGAGAAAACAGCAGTAAATTGGCCAAATTTTCACCAAATGAATGCAATCAACTCTTGTGAATATCTAAAAACTAGAAATTGCTCTGTTCGTTACTTTAATGGCGAAAAACGATTACTCGGCGGAAAATATTACCCAATATTTCCTTGATCGTCAGGGTTTCAATACAAATTGACCGAATGTTTTCATTAACAAAAATCGAATAAATATTAATAATTCTGTTATTTCCGCGGGTTTTACTCCTCCTCCAATACATGGAAAGAATTATGAATACATTCCACAATGACAATAACCTGATAAAGCCTTTAACAGCTGTGTTTGATGAATACATAAACCATAATTAAACAAATGTATTCGTTATCTGATGTAAATATTATTGTATATCAAATGGCTTGCGCAAGAGCGATCAAAAATTTCCACAAAAACACTTGCCCGTTTAAAGTCTTCCGATCAACTGAGTTATCTACAGTTGAAAAATATAAAAAATAGATTAAAATCGATATTTTGCTTTTGAGATTTTTCAACATGTACCCATTTACCCCACGACTACGTAAAGATTTCGCTATTTTTCGACTATTTTTCTCACCATGTACAGTCAAGTTAGAAGATCGTGTAAATAATAGTGATTTAATTGCGTAATGGATGAAATTGATAAAATTAATGTGAGTCTAAAACATTTAAAAATCCACGAAAACAAAATTGGAATTACCTGAAATTTCAAATAATTGAAAATTTAATGATCTTGTTGAATTAAATACAAAAATCAATTATCATTCACCACGAAAAACCTAATAATAAATTTTCAATATGAATAAGAAATTTATTGAGTATTGTCAATTAAAATAAAAGTCAACTCACATAATTGGAAATTCATGTGATATTATGATTTCAATTTCAATAAATTTCTGATAGAATATTAAAATATTCACCAATGAATAATAATCCCTGTCTACCGATAAAATCATGCAGTTAAAAGTAGTTAGAATGACAAAATCATAATAATATAACTAAAGACTCTCATAACATCCAGTGCATAGTTAACAACCTCCAAGTGCACGATATGTCAAGAGGATTCTATCTCTGGAGATTGTGGGTTTCATGTGTCTGTGTGTGTTTGACAAGTCGGTAGGCGCAGGAGCACATGGAGGCATCGATCGGTAATATATAGAAGCAAAAGCCAGACAAAGACAAATTGAAAAAAAAAACAAGAGAGAGAGAGAGAAAGAGAGAGAATAGAGAAAACATGGTCACACTATAACAATCCACCTGAACGCGAATACGTTCTCATATCCGTGCGATAAAACCCAATCGATTTCTCTCTCTTTTTGTTGGGATAATGCGCCCATCACAGCGCAAGTACTCATCGCCAAATTGCTGTAATATTTCGGTGCTGTTTGGTGGTCAGCCAAGAGGTTCTTATCTTTTTGTTTCTCTTCTGCACTTGCATTACTGTAACGTCTTGCGGGAATTACATACGATCAGTTCCGTACAAGGCATTCCCTTTGTCCCATTCTCGAAAGGAATATACCAAACGGTAAATGGGTAATTACAAATAATCATTTTGAATATTTGCACCAAAGCGATCAATTCGGTTAAAAGATAAATACATCGTTCTATTATTTAAAAAAAAACAATCATGGGATTCGGTTTAATTTTGCATTTATTTTTTGTGCGGCTAGTTTTGGTTTGAGAATTGTAAACATGTAGAGCCCGTGTTAAACCATTTTTTTTTCCGTTATGGAATATACACTAGAGCTAAAGGCAATCAATTAAGAACTCGAATAATATTTGCCGAGTGGAAAAAAAATCCCGGAATAAGTATGAGTTCGTTTTAATTTAATTCCGGCTTCACATTACTTTGAACTCATTTAACTCATTCAATGCGTTGTGAGTGAATATTAATTCGAGTGCAGTTGACGATAATTAATTAAATTGATCACCTTTAGGAAGAGAATTCCTCAATTTACGAGCTATTTATACAGCTCCGATGATGAGCATATTTGATAATTAATTATTGTATGTATGCATCGACATGTGTAATAGAGGAAATACACACGTGTTTGAGGCATTTGAATTGAGGAAAACATGTAGCAAGCCGATGAGAAATACATCATTATTGAATGGTATTCAGTCATTCCCTCAAATCTCGGTCATGAAGGAATGAGAGGAATGAATCCTCACAATATTTGATAGAAAAATATATCTACATTTTGTGAACTGATGCAATTAGTTTTTGTTTCAAACGTCCTGATGATCAAATGCTTGAAAGGATTAACCAGTAAAGAATCAGAGCTTGCCAGTATCAAATTTCAAATGACAAATTTTCGAAGTTCAAAGGAATGAACATCTGAATTCAAACGTTTGTACCTCAAGCTGCAATATCCGAGTTCAATGTCACGTCCAAAGGATTGCACACCCGAAGGGTCAAGAAGATCACACAACCTCACATGGAAATGATTTATTATTATTGTTATTCCCCAGGAAAGTGCCTGATCCCTCGACCTCTGAATCCTCTGACGTACGATTCTGAGTTGAAATATTTAAACACTCATCCGAAAGAAGATGAATTTCCGCAAAACGCGATTGTAATTGAATCCGTGATTGTACGACATTTTATGCTCCGACAATTTCAGTCACCAGACGGATCTTTTCAAATCCCTAGATTTGTCAACGGTGACGAGGGGAGAATTTCCATCACCCGGTGTTTCCGAAACATTGGATTTGCCGACGGAATCACTAAATCGACGACGTGAAATAATGGACAATGTCACTCCAACTTCGAAGACTATCAAAGTGTAGAGCCGAGTAATAGATAACATATTCCACGGCACACATTACGTCCACCGCATACGTAACATTGAATATGAAAAATTGATGTGTTTACCCCTTGGAGTATAAGACGAGCTTTAGCAGTTGATCGAAGTAATGAATACGGTACAAAGAAGCATACCCACTATAATACTCAATAATTGGACTAAGCAATTGAACGCGTCCATATCGAACAGCAAACGACAATTTATTACTGCGCTAATACGACTAGTCAGCAGTTAGATCTTACTACCACCTTTTAGCTCGACACTATGTGCAATTGTCCACGCATTCATACTTTATTCCCGTTCATTTAAAACTCCACCATTAGCTATTTTGTGCACGCACTTCACCACATTGTTATTATATAAATGAAACTCTTACCAGAATACTTCATAAAACTTGAGTGCGTTATAAAAAAATATGTATTTGGAACAAGAGTGATTTGTTAGAGAGCATGACATCATTTCAGGGTAAAAATAATAGTCGGCGGGCATAAAGAAAACTGAATAAAATGGGGCTGAGTTGGCGTTCACCGAGAAATCCTTTGAGAATTTACTGACAGAAGGGGGGGAAATTCAAGTTGCTGGCTAATTGCGTGACCTTAAACGAACCTATCCCGTCACCATTACCACCACAATGAGGCCGAGTATGTTGCGTGAAGCTGCTTCCGTCGCGAGTGACACGCGGTACTTGTAATCTGGCCTCCAATGACACGTGATCTCCCCATTATGAAGAACTAATTTTTCATGAAAAAAAATATATGAAAGGGCGTCATGTAGGGCGTCATAATGCTATTAGGTTTAGTCAAATTATCATCATTGGAACTCAGAACGGTCAAGTTGTAACGCTTTTAATGCTGATAAAAAGTGTCGCGTTTTTTTTTCCAAGGAGAAAGTCAGGAAAGCAAACAACGGGACAAAAACAGCACCTCAGATGAAGCGAATATTCAGAATATTCGGGAAATTCGGAAAATTCCTGGGAGTAGAATAAATATTGAATTACAGTAGAATCCAGTTATAGTCGCGCCTTTCCTCAATTAATTTTTTTACATATCTGTCGGTTTCCCTACTCTAGTACCTCCGGAGTACAAAATTCACTTCCTCTACAGCCCCATGCACGTGACTATAACGGTACATCTACTGTATTTTAAATTTTAACAATTGTTGGACAAAAATTTTTTGGAAACTGTTCTAAGATTGCGTTCTTATTGATAATTGACTACCCAAATCTAAAATAAAACTTGACTTGATGAAGATATTCCTTCCCAGAAATTTTTGCGCATGCATAATTGAGGAGTAATTATCGGAGCGAGTGATGAGACGTTTCCGGGCAATCACGATGAGCAGTGGGGTGTAAAATGCCTATTAAAGGAATTCAATCGAGCATCTACGGCTGAATGCTTCACTTCATTGGAAAAAGAAAGAAAAAATGTAGCTTGCAACTATTCGACTATTTCCATCGCTTCCATATCGGTTGAAAGAAGATTTATGTGCAGTTTGTGGACACGAGGTCGACACCAGGCAGAAGGGAGGAAAAATAAAGTGGGGACTCACTAAGGGATCATGAACATGTGCGCGCGCACACGTTAACTCATACCGGTTTTTTTTTAGCAGCTTCAACAGTTTTCATCACGAATTTTCGGGCCAATGACTTTCGTATTCACGATATTCACAAAAAGTTCATTTGTCAATCAATTCTTTCTGCGTTTGCATTTGCACTTAAAATTTCGAGTGAAAAAACAGGCAATTTTGTTGTATTGAATGTTCAAATAGTTCTTGATGTTCAGTTGCACGTGGCACTGAAAAGTCGTGAAAATGGTGGAAATTTAAACAGTAACTTCCCTGAATTCTATCCGATATTCAATTTTCATGATGAGTTGGTCGTTTTGGAATTTCTGACGTGAGTAAAAAATTTAGTAAGCGTTTTCAATTGAAATAGAAAATGTGAGGGAAATGTCTAAAATTATCTGCCAGCGCAAAAAAACAAAATAGCAAAACTTTTGCAATAACCATGTTTGTAAAAGGATTCCATTATTATCGTTAGGTCCAGAGATATTTTCAAAGAATTTTCCGAGACGACTTATCTCCTTTGAGCAATGAGTTGATCGCGGGATAAATCGCATGAGTTTAATATTCGAATGGACTTTTCACCCTCGACTTAATACGCATCAGCAATACCGTATGGAATCGTTGGTAACGCCCACGCGTTCTCCAAATAAAACTGCAAGTCGTAAATTGACAATGTGTACCGTATTGCCATAGATGTCAGAAATTCTTGCCAAGTTGAGGATTTTTTTCTCCGCCCGCTCTCTCACGTCTTTTTAAACCGAGCATTGATTTTCATCTCTCATTCCAGGCTCTATTAAACTTGAATTTTAACTTGACCAAGAGCGTCCAACGCTCATTAATTTTTATCAGGCAATTCATTACGACCAAGCGCCAAACCCAATTAGCCTGGGGGTCACCAAGGGGAAAATGTATTGAAAAGATGACTTCTCATGAAAGGAAATATTCCTCCGGTAAAAATGTCAGATATGAACTTTTTTCTCCTCCTTAAAAGACAAAAAAAAACGGTAAAAAAGATTTACTCTCGTTCCCTCTTTATTTCTGTCGAGGGTAAATTTATTCACGCCTGCACGATCGTTACAGAGCCATCGGCAATTACTGATAATGTTGTAAAAAGTGGAATAGGAGACATACAATGAACTATATCAGAAAGAATTTTAAATCGTCTTGGAGATTTCTGTGACGCGCACGGCAATTTATTGGTTTTATTAATTCCAACGTCGATAGCACTTTCATTTTATCGAGTTCGAGATCTAGTGGTAGATCAAAGATCAAAGGAAGTATATATAATTAATATCAATCCGTGATAATGGGTGGAACTCTAAAGTATTATGGAATTGAAGCTGAATGTAGGCTAGAGTGTTGAAATTTCTTTTTTATTTCAAGGAATTCGTAATCATGGTATTTAATCGTTGGAATGTATTTTTTACGAGTGTTATTAAAACTCTTAATTCAATACTTAATTGATTTCGAGAACACCCGAGGGGCAGAACAGAGAAATCGACGAATATCTTCAGTTTTTCGGGAATATCTCCTGAAGGAAGGGAGACAGCAAAATTTCAACTCCAGCTTTTTTGTAGCTCTGAATTAGTACAAGAAAAAAAATTCCAACGAAAATTCCATTATCTCCATCATCTCCATTATCTCCGAGATATTGCCAAAAAACTCGTCAAAAATTCGCGTCAACTTTCATTTTTTACCATAAAACTGGTGATTGGATTCAACGACACTATTGAATAAAAAAATAAGAAGACCACGACAAATTACAACAGAAATCTTGAACAGTATACGTTGAAATTGAAAAAGTACTCATGCCTCAGTACAAACTCAACGCCTTCTTGTATATCAAAGTCGACGTAGCAGTAACGAGAAAAGCTCTCATGCTCGAAATCCATTTGCAGAAAGCTGAGATACATCTACTACATCTATACGTAAGTTTTCCCCGGTGCTCTAGAAGCTCAGTCGATCGCGTGGATGGCAGCTGCAACGCCACTCCATGGGAAAATACAACTACAACTACACGTACACATGTACACATAAATATGGTAAGTGGATGGAAGACGTCCTCCAGTCGATGGAGTTTTCCATCGTATATGATACACCAGGAGGTCATAGATACTCCAACAATAGGATTCATCGCTTTCACGTATCCTTTTGTCAAAGAAATAACAATTGAGGGCGCCATCGACTGGATAAAACATCAACAATCCATCAGACAATTTAATCTATTCTCACATCAATTTGTGAAGAATTCAAGGCAGAATTGAAATAAAAAAAAAATGATGAAAAAGATTCTCTACATATTTTACGCCGATATTCACATGAATAATTATGCGTTCCATGTAAATTTGACTTTTAGTTGGATAATTAATTGGCATGTCTTTTTTTACTGATATTTTTTGTTACAGATGCTCTTACAATCGAGTTCATCGCTTTTACGGACTCTTTGGATTATAAAAAGAGAAAACTATTGATAGCGCTGTTCATTGACTGGATATAATATGAAGAATTTATTAGAGAATTTGTTCTCACATCAATTAGCGCAGAATTCGTGCTAATTGCAAGTGGGATACAAGTTTCAGAGAAAAAACCTTATCTTTTCAACGTAAATGTACCTGACACCATTAAACACCGAAAACGTTTACTTAAAATCTGCATTTGAATTCCTCTCTTTAAAAAAAATTACTTCAACTAAGTAGTTTAAGTGGCTTAGACATTTATTTTTCTCTGACTGAATCGTAGTGTCAACTTTTAGGAGATAAAGGAGAAATTTCTTGTACCACTGATTATTCAATTACTGGGCATTGACACCTAATGAGATTTAGGAACTTTAAAAAAGAAAAAAAACATGATATTTTCCGTTATCGTTTCAGTCAAAAATTACAAATAACGCATCCAAAATAAAATGATATCAGTCCCGAAGAGATAAGCCCCAAGTCGATTAATTCCGCAATTGAGTTTCCGAGGAATATCTCCACTTCTGGCAGAGATACGAAAATTTACCCCCAGATCAAATCAATAGATCTGACAGAGATCTCGAAAAAATGTCGGAATAAAAATTTCGCTATCTCCATTCTATCCCAAGATATTCCTGGAGAAACTCCAATCGGCTCGTTACAGCAAGTCAGCAGTTCGTATGACTGTCGTTGACTCGAATTCTTGGCCGAGTTTCATCAAGTGTTGAAAATGCTAAAATCTCAAGTACCTAATTACAACGTAGACAATAGAAGCATTAAAATGAATGCTCTTCCCCGGTTAGGATTAAACTCCAAATGGCGAATCTGTATGAGAATCAGTAGTAGTTGGTAGATACATTGCGCGATGGTTCCTGCGCACATGCGCCAACACGATTCGAAAAGGAAAGAAGATACAGTTGTGAACCGTTATGAAAGTGCAAGAGAGAGACATAGATACACCCAAGAAACACGACACTGACACATAGGGTACATAAACACTGTGGCACATGTATTAACACATACAGATGTAACGAAAAACGTGGTGAAGCACAGGCCCCGGATATCGGGAAGCGCTCACTGAATCACGTCACCAACTTCCACCATCTCGTGGCGAGTTTACGAAATATAAATTGAGGAATAATAAAAAAAAAGGCAAGAAAAAAAAAATGAGTGCCCCAACGAGAGACGAAGAGAGAGATAAAAAAAAATAAAAAAAAACAAGGCCCGTGAAAACACCTACACAAATAGAACGATTTATCACTGGTCGTTGTTATTGGAGTAAATGAAATAAAATAGTTGAGATGACTCCGCGACAGCATTGATAAAAAAGGATAATTACCGGGTATTCGATGGCACTGAGGGGAGTGGGAGGATTAATTTTTGAGATCACTCAATACACACTATGTAATCACCATTGAATATGTGTTGGAGCACGCCTTTCTTCCTCGTTGAGGCGCGTCCAGCTCTGAGAGATGAAGAAACACCGGGCTATCAACGACCGCTTCACTGCACACACTTTTTTTCACCACCATCGGTGGACTATTGTTTCGAATGATAAATAACCCATCAAACACGATGTAACACTGGTATTGATGTGAGCACAAACATTGAGACACGTATGAAGCATTAATAATCACTACGAGTTGTCGATTTATTTAATTACACTGAATCCAGGGGTAATAATAATCCTGTGGAATTGGAAGTACGTGTAAGACACTGGAGTTGACACATGTTATTCCAATGATATAGTGGCAACAAAGAACACGGTAAATCACTGATAAATTGGTGGGATTTTAATAGAATGGGCTGTATGAGGTCTGAGGCGCCGCCAGACCGAGCGCTTGGCGTTAACTGAAGAATCGCGGGTTCTCTGTCCTCCCCCCTCCAACGAGACCAACCGCGCCGACGACGACCAGTCGCCCGGTACATGGGCTATAACCAACGGCGTCGACTCCCGGGGACACACCAAATCCTAAACCACTCACAATGGTGTAGATGTAGACTATCCCCATGTCATCCTTCAATTCGTTTATACACTCCGAAAATTACACTTTTAACACACACTGATTACTAGGTTTTAAGTACGTCGCAAAATTCATATCAAACTTGGGAAATTCGGATATTCTTAAATTATAATTATAATGCAAAAACACTCGCAATGGCGTCGTCCTCGTGTCATCCTCCAATTCATTTATGAATTACACTTACTCTGAAAATTACACTTTTAACACGCGGCAATTATGAGATTTTCACTTGGAAAATTCACAAGTGCGTAGGAATTTTTGTTACATTGTCTATAAAAACATAAATAGAACAACAAACAAACAACCTTAATGCGAGAAAAATATGTTGAACTTTCTAATGGTCCAACCGATAAAACGCCCGACACGTTTGCAATTCTCCGAAAGATGTAATTAAAATTGAAAAAGTTTGAAAAAGTTGTTTCTCATGTCATTAAAAATTCACCGAACACTCATTATAGAAACTGTGCTTTACCATTCAATGTCAACCTGAATTTCAAATATCAAAAATTCTACTATCCCACAGTACACCCCAACTATCTTACACATTATGTCCTGAACTTCAGTAAATCTCCCCGAAGTCCAGAAAAAAAAGGGCAGAAAAATGTTTACACAATGACGAAACTCCGTGAGTTATTGAATAACGATGAGAGCCCATCTGTCAGAAGTTTTCCACTACAGTGTGAAAAAAGAAGAAGGAAAAAAAAACTAGAGCCAAATGATACAAAAAAATGAGATCAGATCAGTCGATATCTCCCCTTGATCCATTAGATTTCCTGAATCCAACTGACAATCACCATTTAAAATGATAAAAACCAAACAGTTGGCGCTGTTGATGAGATTTTTCCAAAAAATTTGAGTTGTTGACACCAATGCCTCAGCAAATGCTTCCATCCCTCCCAAACCCACACAGTGTTAGACCCATTCTCTAATTCTACCTGCCCTATTCTGCTTGAGTCTCGAGCACAGAGAAACCTCACTTGATCCTCGTCCCTCTCTACATCCACCATCTCTATCCCTCACATTTCCTCCCTCTCTCTTCAACATCCACCTAAAACCGCATAATATTGTCTCACTTTATCTCCCCCAACCCTCAACCGGATTGTACCACAACTATAGTGTGTTCTTACTTCCACTCAATGCACAAATGTTCTCTTCTTTCCCTTTCATGAATTACAGAGAATAAGCAGAACCCCATGAATCCACGCACCCCAGGAAAATCGCCCCTCCGTACAGCACACACACACACACACACATAACCGAGGAAAAAGCCAACCCCTGAGTCAACAAAAAGAGAAAAAGTCGACCAGCCTAAAAGAAAAAGAAAGGAATATTAGTCAGAAAAATTGGATCACGGGAAATAATGTAAGCAGAGGAGTGGCAGGAAATGAGTCTTAATTATTAAGTTTTGCTGTAATTCGTAACGGACAGAAATACATAAGAAAAGCAACGAAGAAGTCGAGCGTGTACACACATACTTTTGCCACGCTCTTTTGCCTCTTTTCTTTTTTTTTTTTGCGTTTTATTTTTCTCCGTCCTCTTTTCACTCCTCCGTTTCCAACCTCTGGCTCTCTCGTTTTCTTTTCGTTTTTTTTTCCTCGCCGGCTTCTCCGGTTTAGTCCACTGTTTGTTCCTCTTGAATTGTCGAGAACCAGTCGCTCAGGCATTGAGGAGACCCTCAGAGACGTTGTAAACCTCTCGTGGAATGCCACGAGGAAATTCGTAGATATCTGTTTCTCCTCTGTTTTATTGCTGTGGCAAGTTTACAACGACAAATTGTCGTACGCCATTCATATTTCGATGTATCTACAGGAATTTTTTTAAAAAGCAATTGAAAAAATAAATGCTTTCGTGTGATTTCACTGTGGGTGACGCACAAATTCATCACATTTTTCTAATTTAAATACATGTTTGTTTTTATTACTGATGTTCATGAAAATCCCACGTACTTTTTAAAATTCACTGAATCATGTTTATTGTTTGAGAATTGAGTGGACAAAATGAACGAGCGAATGCCATTCGATTCAGTAGAGTTTTAACCACTACTTTCTATTTTTATGGCTATTTTTAGAGCCTTTCAGTAGGTGAATTATTAATCTCAACATAAATTCCATGAAAGCACGTAAATACGAAAAAATAATTGACTTATTAGCATTAATATCTCTAAAATCTCGGAGTAAATTTTTAAATATTCTGTTATTAGACAAAAAGACAGAATTCTTCATCGTTATCATTGCCATCGAGTTAATCAATTAGTATTAATCATCTATATTTACGAGAGACTTCCGGCGGAATGGTGATGTGATTAAAGAACAAGAGCAGTTGAAAAATTCAGGGCTCGTTTGCGCTGTTTTTATTAGTGTTATTCTGTCGTGGTGCTGTTATGGTTTGTCTCACTCATCTATTCATTGGGTGTTGGTGAGTCTCTCTCGCAGGATAGGGCAAGAGCAACTGGCTGATTTGAACGCCTTCTTCGGCAGTTTGCCCCCTCCGGCTTCTGACATTTACGGCATTATAGTAGGCTTCCACCCCAAGTTCTCAGAGTGCCGTCGGCCAAAGAGGGTTACACACACTCCCATTATCCACACATACAAAAACACTGATGATGAGGTCTCATTCCCTTTCCCAATGCCTGGAGATAATCACTCGACTCTCGTCACTCGAGGCGTTTAGAGACCGATTTCTTTGCCATATTTTTTTTTTTTCTTTTTTCTCTATGTATATCCTATACATTTGCCAGGTTGGTTGGATCGTTGTCAACTTTCAGATAGTACCGGTGATCATCACCGGACATGAGACTGATTGTACGTGGGTCACGATTTTCAGTTTATTACTCTTTACAGAGAATCAACGGCGTTAATCGCTTGTAGCGCGCATCAGATTTCACCTCCTTAAGTTGCTTATATATATGTGAGTCATGACTTGATGATGTGGTAAGACAGATAAGGTGGTGATATTCCGTCACCAAATGACGAGATAACTCACGCTGAGCGCAAATAAAATCGTATCGAGTTGTGATTCGAATTATTGCTGTCAATTATGCGGGATGTTATTACTTCGTTCGAATTCCCCGGAAATTCAGGGCGTGATGAGAGTGTCAACAATTGTAAATTGTTTATAAGG